GTTTTGAATTTCGGTTTTTACCATGTCTGTTTTCCCCCCAGAGCTTTCACAGCTTCAGGGAAACATTCCTACCCTATTGATCTGAGAGTCTGCTATTCCAGTTATCTTTCACAGTGAGCCAAAAAAAAGGCAGGCTCTCACTTTGCTGCTCCTCCAGTACAGTACCTGCGGCAAAACTAACATCACAGTCACATCCCGCCTGCTTACACGGTACCGACACATGACCCCTGAAGGGCAAAGCCAAAATGAAGGACAATGCAAATCAGAGGTCGTGGCACTGGAGAAAAGTTCACATCTCTACAGCTGCATTAGAGCTAGATAACAGGAAAGTTGATTGGTTATACCTGAGCAAATTTACAAATGCAATTGTAAGGCAGGGGGAGGGGGTGTTCACTTATCCAAATAATGTATTTTACTGTTGTAATATTAATTTTCAGAATGTTTTAATGCATTTCATTTTCACTTGGCTAATGTGGGTTACCGTGTGTAAATAAAAATGGAACAAGCCGAATTTGATTCGTTTTTATTTTCAGAGTGTCATACAACATAAGGTACAAATTTCGAAAGGGGGTTGTGACTGTCTATACTCACTGTATTTCAAATCTACATTTCTTGACAGAACACGGTTATATAAATTGATCCCCATCTAGGCTATAAAATCCCAATCAAAGATTACATACTGCATAGCAGCGGATATGAATCTTTAAGTTCCCCAAATATAGTATACAATGAATACATTTCGTGGTGAATCTGTTTTGCTAACCCTCACCATCACTGGAAAAAAGTGAAGACTCTCTGCTCCATAGATAAAGAAATGATGAAAGATTGAGCCAAGTGCCTTCCAGAGCCTCTGTGAACAGTCTCATCAATAATAAATCAACACGACAAGCCCCGAAGCAAACAAGTCAGCTAAGTCTCCCAGAATTCCTCCTCCTCTTAACACGTAAACATTAAAACTGAAAAGTATAAATTCACGGGTTACACAATTGGACCAAATAATTCACTTTTTTCCCCTCCTGTGGACTACACCAAATTCAAGCCATAGACAATCACACCTTGTAAAAGTACCACCCCTTTCATGATCAAATTGATACAAACATTCAGAATATGGAAAACGAAGGCTATGAAGGAGAAGCATAAAAACTTGCATTTCAGCCTAGTGACTAGTGAAGCCATTTCCGATTCCTTCAATGTGGAGAAAATGAGAAGATATTAAGGCAATTAAAAACTTAATTGCCTGTCTGATCTGAAGCCACATGATACTTATGCTCAACTAAATTGGCCTGATCTTGTCGCATAGTTCTTGGCTTTACAATACAGCAAGTTGTGCCCCATCAAAATAAAACAGCATGAGAAGAACAGCCTAAACCTGTTACTGTTAAAAGATTTTGGCAATCATAAACCCACTGGCATTTTTCTCAAATAACATCCTTCACAGCTCCCTTTTTTTGACAAACAAGTTGTTTTAAGGAACCAAACTTTGGCCTTGTTATTGAGAAACATTTTCATTAGCACGGCATCGTGCCAAATTGAGTGAAGTAACCAGTGCCTTTGAATGGGTGCCTACAACATGGACTGGACCCAATTCTAGGCAGAACACAAATCAAATGCTAACCTAAGATAACCCATTTGACAAGGGCAAATGGATATCTAAAACCCTCCTAAAAAACATTGTTAAATACATTCCCTATTACTAAAAGTTTTACCCCACTATCTTTTTAACCTATAAATGTGAAAGAAGTGTGATAAAGACATGGCTTTAAACACTGACCTTTAACATGGAAGTGCTGTATGTGATCTAAATAAGACTGACAAACATTATTATTACACATAAGGATTTATCTACTGAGACAGAGACTGCTAAAGCCATATAGCAACAATGCTGGGACACTAAACCAGTTAACATTTACAGAAACAGCTCAGCCTTCAGAGAAACCAATCCTAAATTCTTAATGTATACTCCCCGAGCTCTCTCCTCTACAGAGCTTGGCTCATCACAGCAAATCCAAAGTCCTGAGCTGAGCCATCACATGATAAGACACCTACACATTCCTCGATTTAGACATCTTCTGCAGTTGTTTCTTACAAATCTCGGTTTCCTGCAGTACCACAGATCTCACATCTTATGTAAATTTCTTGACAAACAACCAGCGCCAAGTGGATATCTTTTCAATCAAATTCTGTGCTGCATTAAGAATGAATCTCAATTTAAAGGTCTGTGAATAGACTTTAAAATGTCTATTCATATATTATAAAATATGAATCCAAGCTCATCTTTGAAGAACACTGAAATGTTGGGCAGCTGGCTCTTAAGAGCACGTGTACATAGGTTTATATATTCATTCACATGCATTTGCTACTTCAAAACATAATTATATCTAAATTAAGAATTCTAACGTAAAATCTACTGTCAGAAAAAAATTCTACTTAAAACGTCAACAGTAACACAAAGCATCTCCTTTAAGATTTTACCTTTGACGACCAGTTTTACATAGCGCCCTCTTGTGCTTCACTAAGGATGCAGACAGCTGTCAACTAAGCAAGTCTGACAGATCTGTATGAACAGTACAAACTAATACTTTTCCAGACTTTTCTTAGCTAGTAGTGAGCAACATAAAAATATGTTCCCATGTACTTGACTGGTACTTCAAGGGAATGCCTCACAAAATCAAACACCTGCACCCAATAATGCATTCATTACATTACAATAATGACAATCTCTGATCACCAGTATTAAGTACAGAAAATTGCACAGATTCCTAATGATGCACAAAATCAAAGTGTTCTGAACCAAGCCACCACCTGTAAGTACTTGTCTCTTTTGATACAGCCAGTGTCAAAAGCAATTTCTAAAAACAATAGACCTGGAATATTTAAAATAATACTGCCTATAAAAAATAATCTGCCACATATTAATGATGTTGTGAAGACAGATCTCAACCTTACATTTGCCTCCCACTCCGACAATACCTACCTCACTATTTAACCATCCTTAACGAGGACCGTTAGCAGTGGACTTCAAAGACAATACTAATTGTTTAGCGCCAATCCAGTATTTACAAGGCAGGCGCACAGATAACTATTCAGCAAACCTTCCCGTGTGAAGAGGTTTGTCATGAACTAGGCCTTAGAAGTGTCAGCCACCTCTCTCTCTCTCTCGCACATCACCTAAGAAGGACTGTACGTGCCGAGACTCCCAGTAACTGAGCGATTAAACAAAGAGGGAAAAACATCAGCTGCGTGTTATGGAGCTGCATTCCAAGACAACAAAGCATCCTGCTTTAAAAATCACGCCTGTTAGAACACGCCTCAGAGGTGAAACCAGATTCATTAATTTCCGTTCATTACAATTCAAGTTACCTACCAGTTCTGCATCTGTGGCTGTAACCTGGAAGTTACAAAAACAGCGTTGGGTTTTTTTAAAAGATAAAATATCAAATATTGTACCCCATTGTAGTTGATTTATCTTTTCTGAAACTTCCACGCAATTAAAATAAGTCATTAAAGGAGAACCTACGATTCCAAGTAGTGAAACGCAACAAAGGTCTTACGATCGCACTGATTGTGTGCAACGTACTGGAAAAAAATGTTTTAATATATATATACTTACAAAACACTTGCAGTAACTTGTCGAAGGAACCCGAACTCGTCTATCACTGCGACATGTTTCAAGTATTTTTCGAGGAACACCTCGTTATTATGCAAAATGTTTTTTAAAAAAAAAGCACGATAAAGGGGCACGTGGTTCCATGATTTACTAGTTAATTCATTGTTGCCTCGCACTGGCCTCCTTTACCAGAACTGCAAATAATAAACTAGTTCATACTATACAATTAAAGCACAATCAATCACTACACAAGGATGCCCAGTGGTATGTAGACGCCATAGAGCAATCGTGTGTTGTCCATCAAAACCCCGTAACCTAACTTAATGTAACATCGTAAAGAAATTAATGTTTTTAACAATATTAACTCAATCTTCAGAGTCAAGGGAATGTGTTATATACTGCCACTGAATCAACGATGACTAGCTACATGATCACTTTGCTGACATCCTCGACGGTTTTTGACGTAAATAAATGTGTTCCCTATTACATTGTTTCTCAAAGGTCGAAAACATTTGGATTTAGAAATGTCACAATTACATAGTCCGCGGCGCAGTTGACGCCAACACGTAGTAATAATGTATCCTACATCCCCTCTGTTTTCGTTTTGAAACAGATCTTCTAAACATAGTGTTTACTAATAAAAAATATGTATCAATAAACTCCAGGTATATGTTTAAATGCTCGAAATAACGCAAAAAGGAACCATCGTAGACGTTGCAGAAGTATTTTCCTGACCTCCTTAAAATACTAAAACGCACAAAAAGAAAAAAAAAGGTTTGTCTTAACATCTGCCCTAAATTAAAATAAGACTGTGATGCAGCCCTGCTCTGTTCGTGTTTTTTTTTTAGCGATGGCTTCGCCTTAATGGCATATCTGTTTTGTCTCCTTAATCTTTATGCACCATATTTCTGGGAGAAAAAAAAATGCAGCACTCAGAAATCCACTCCGTTTTAAAATGGTCACACACGGGCTCCCGACACCATTTTGAGAAGCACCCTCCTTCAACTGGGATGAGGGCACGGAACACATTTTGTAAAAAAAGTCTACCCCCCAAAAAAAGTCAGAACACGGACAATTCCATTGCATTCATTGAACATTTGCATCTCTGTGTATCCCTCAGTGTGTACAGTATCTTCTGCCTGTGTGTTAACGTGATGGAAGGAGAGCACACAACACGATAGCTAATGTCCTATAAGTAATATATTTTTTTTTTAATTTTTGTGATCGTTATGTCCTTTATCCCCCTCTGACCCCTCAATGCGCGAACCATTTCCATTTCTCATATTTTCCAGTTTGCATGACTGCATTCCAGGTTTGGACACTTAAGAGGGGAAAAAAAAAACGCATTAGCAGGATACACACAGACCATCAACACACAGCGATCCTCTCTTACCCGTGGTAATCCAGTTGGATTGATCGACTTTATTCCCAGTTTCCTCTGACTCTTTCCGAGCACTACTGTGTTGTGCGTATTCTCCTTTCTCTCTATGAACGCTGGCGGTTTCCTCCTCTCGCTCGCTTTGCTCCAGCGATTTCGGGCTTGCAGTCAGTGTTGGTAACAGAGACACACGCATACACAATGTGGGGGATGGGGATACCGAGAGGCGAGGGAGGGGGGAGAAAGGAGAGGAAGGGGGGGTCAAGCAAATTGGAGGAGGACCTTTTCTCTGTGACGTCAAATTACACGAACAAACAGAGACTGTTCCCCCCTCCCCCTTCTCTGTCCCTTCGCGTATCATGGCGCACACTAGTGACGTGGTCGTGGACATGGGGGAAACTAGCGCCTTTCAAGCAAATTGCTGTGTGCATCATTTTTAATCAGTGGGACAATGACGTTGAGCTTGTTTTTTTAATATATGACTTTAGTAGTCTTTCTAGGAGTGTTTCAACGAGACGCTGTTCTTTTTTATAGCCTGGGAAATGTCCTCCCCGAGCATGAAATTAGTTCGTTTTGCGACGAACAGCCATGTTATATATGTGTTACATTTTAATGGCCATTTTGTATTATGTGTCAGAGGATCCATGACGCGGGCGTGATCGTGGAAAAAAAAAAAGAACCACGTCCCGGGTGGATGTTAGAAGACATTGTGTTCTAGAACAGGGGGCTCCTACCCACTCGAGCTTTTCTTTTCATTGAATCCTTCATTGAACTAGCGAACTGCTTGGCTGAAACCTTTGCAAGTTATTTATTTCTTCGCAAAAGCTGGAAGGGGAAACAGTTAATGGGTTCACGTAAATCGTGTAATTAAGTCAATTAGGGGTTCGGTTATGTGACTGGGAATGAAGAACTAGGATATGTAGGACCCAATACTTTTTGTATGTAAAACCTGAGACAGAATCTAGTAAGGAGGACACAGGGTGTAGACTCTTTAAATTCACCCCATTTTTGGCCAGATAAGTGATCTACTTAACGTTTTATTGTCCTTGAGAGCTGAAACAAATTGTATTAATTTTATTTTATCCATCATCATCATCAATCTTGGATGAACGTATACTGCACCAGCGGTCACATCGCTTATGGGTTGTGCTTGCAGTGGTCTTTGCAGGGACAATATCAATTGAAAAGCAGCCACCCTCTACGACTAGGTGCGCCAGCAATTCATAAAGCAGATTGAAAAATAATATTTCTACCGATCCTTTAAATACGTTTGAAGCAGAGTGCACATATTTGTAATATCTGAAAATACCAAGATGTGTCTGTTATTATCTCATCCAAACATGACCAATGGGGTCTGTTGCAGAAAAGAAATACTATCAGACTAGAAAGCAAGCGCAGTGCCCAGGTGAGACAAACCCCGACGTTTTCAGATTCCGAGTGGTTATTGGGAGATCATAAACAGTTTATTAGAGCAATCAACTGAACTCACAACACATCGGGCAGATTTTAAGAGCAGATCTTGAGCACTGCTTGAGCGTGTGCTCGCTCTAATTGATTTAATCAGGACTTAATACCGTAAAAAATCTTCAACATCGTTTAAAAGCAATTCAGTTAATCTAGACGTGAATGTTTTGATTAAGTTTAGCAAAAAAATATGCAAAACTGAAGCCACGTTTGACCTGACTCAAAATATTATGACATAGATATGACGGTAAATTTAGCTTTTTTCAGGCTTTAGAGCCACAGAAGACCAATATTGCGTTATCACCCCTGTGTGGTCAATAATGGAAGCGGATTTTGAGACTTATTTCCTGCAGAGGATTCACACTGTAACGGAATAGAATCAATTGCCAGTGTGTGTTCTGCACAGAAAATCCACAGTCCCTTTGAGCATATTTAACTTTTGTCTATTTTAGATTTAATTATAAATCCAGTAATGACTTCAAAACACACAGAGCGGCGTAAAGTGCACCTTTTCTAAAAAAAAAAACATAATCCAGGTAACTCTCTATGGTGTTCATTAATCTCATTATTTTTGGCAACGAACGAACGGTTTTGGCAATTTCTACGAGGTCTGAGTGAGCATTTGGTGAGCGTCCTCTTGTGGCAGAGATGTGTACTACAAAAGACAAATCTTCATCACTGTGCTAAAGGCCTAAACCCTTTGATCTCTTTATTTTGGCCCGCTGCCCAGAAATGGATAAACGAGGCAGACAGCCCACAATTTTATTCTCTATAGAGACCTCCAAAGTCTGACCTTTTCGTTTGTTCAGGACATCAGACGTTTGAAATCAAGCAAACCATAGATATCCTGAAAGAATAACCAGATTCACTGCAGGGGACATGAGTCAAGGATACATTTGATAAGCTGCAAGCTGTGGCTGTCTGTGTGTCCTGAGCCTACCACAGATCTGACCGCTGAACAATTAATAGCACTTGAATGGCAGCACTGATTACATTAAGACATTAAGATATCATACTGACTAGGTGTAGACTCCCTGAAGATTTAATACATAAGTCTTTTATTTTGCAGCACTAAATCTGCAAAACGTATGGAAGATTACAGTAAGATACACATTTAGAGCCTCTTATGATAAACCATCTAATATTCTATGTCTTTATTATCAACCTCAACACACAAGGTATTTCCAATGATATAAACATCTAGTAATTTAAACTCTCAGGGTAAAATAGCCCTTTTTTCTGCAAAAAAGAAGGAATAATAGTTCACACTGCATGTTCTGCACTGGAAATGAAATGGTGTGACAGTTTGCTAAAACAGAAGAACTGGATTTGTAGTGTTGGAATACTTGGGAGTCTTCAGTGTTTGGTACCTTGTTGTTAAAAAGTGTGGTAAAACTTCATTTACAACAGCTTCAACATATTGCCTTGTGGACTCCAGTGATTCACCGGTCAGATAGTGCTCTTTTCTTATTTTTGCAGAGCTGCACTCTTGATTTGCATTAGGTTTTGCCGCACATCGATTGGCCTCTGCTTAGTTTATTCATCATTTTTCCATTCTATTCAGCTACCTTGACTATAGAAATAGTTCTAAAATGCCCAAATGGAGCAAAATAGTAACAGATAAAGTCATCAAGAATGTAGGAACGTGGTCATGTGAGTCCAGTATTTGTGACAACCTGATGAGTCATTTGAATTGTATTAGTCAGGGATTTACAACATAAGAGCTTAATGACCCAACCTTACAAGACTTGTCTTCTTTCTGTATCTCAGGTGGTCTCTACTGTACATACAGTGCATGCTGGGATTTGTATTTGTTTAAAATTACTTAACTTCATCTTCATATCTTTCATAGTCACGTCTTTTTTTTCCATTTACTGTAAGTTCCATTTTATTTCCAAACCTCATAGCCTACAAAACCTTAAACAAAAACTACACTCTGAGTTACATCCATATAAGTAACTTTTAATATAAAATGCAATTTTAAGAATGCCTAACACTTTCCATGGATTGAGTGCTAATTTAATGTCAGTTTGATTCACCGTTTCATTTATTTCATGTTTCATACCAAGGTCATGTGCCTCTGGTTAACATCCATACCAGCTGCACAGAGGCATTTACCAGATCTACCTTCCAAAATATTTTACATCAACATGCAGTCAGTGCAATAGCAAAAATGAGAAATGGCCCAGCCTCTCCCAAAACAAATGTATTGTAAAAGCATCGAAATAAAGTGTGTCTAAATTAGGGCTGAAATATATGATATTATTGTTGCTTTTAGGTTTAGTGTGTATGATCTACGGTTAGCAAGGAAATCTAAATGGAAGCTCTAAACAGAAGCTCTACGTCGGTTCTAAATCTGGAACTTGCGGAGGAAGACCAGGGCTGTTTGTGCAGGAAAGTTCCAGGCTTTTCTCAATGTCCACAGGCTAATGCAGGTCACTAATCCCGCATTATCCCACGTGTCAGCAGCGAGATTAAAGGGACATCGCCTCAGAGAGACCCAGAAGAAAACAAAGAGTCGCAGTCTTTCCTTCTCTGGGACCATTTCCCCGATTAGCAGAACTGTGCAACCAGGGAGCAAAACCCTAGAATAGTCATCAACATCAAAAGGAGATCTTCCCGACACGTTTTCCCACTGTTCATCGTCACACTTTAAAGGCGACGTTAGGTATAATTTCCCCAGATGGCTCTCATGAGGTCAGGATGGCTTTGGAGACAAAGTAAGTGGACATTTGATTTATCGTTAACTGTCTTAACTGCTTTGATTAGTTTTCCTCTAGTTGAAGTGTATGATGCTTAATTAACAATAGGGGACAGAACATTATTGCTCTACAAGCTGTAAGAAAACATGAAGTAGTACCACAAAAAGAAATAGAACATAAAGTTCAGATAATGTAAAACAACTCGAATAGAGAACTCTATACTCTAGCAGTGCGGCACATGATTCCTTTCAAAGTAGTGTTTTTATAGATAAACCAAACACGAGGGTTTTTTAAATACCAAAAATAAGAATATAATTTTTGAAAATTTAATTCATGTAAATTTTGTATACAAAGGTAAAGGCTGACACAAGATATGTTTTGTAAGGATGAATTATATACTGACAGACAATAAAAACACATCACGTGCTATTGGTCCCAGTACACATTTGGTACATATTGTAATGCCTCTCAATACAAACAAAGTTACAGTAGTTATACAATGAAAGGATGTGAATAAGAAAACATCAGTCATACTACTTTTGTTATTCCTATAATGGTCATGAAAATCCAGTTATCAAAGGATGAGTATTTTGTTATAACCTTGGGAAGGGTGATAGCTCCATTAAGTTTAAAGGAATGTAAAAAATGAGGGTCATCAGTTATGAAACCGGCACCCTTATGACCCGATGCTAATCCTATTACTTATTTGTGACAAAGGCTGAAGAAAAATATTAAAGGAGGAAGCCAGCCAGCAACATCGCCCAAAGGGATGGAGATTACATAATTTTAGTAATTTATCAAGAAATAGACTAGTGTGTGGCACGATGACGCAGTGGCTAGCATTGCTGCCTTGTAGCACTGGGATCCTGGGTTGCAATCTGGGTGGAGTTTGTAAGTTCAGCCTATGATTGTGTGGGTTTCCTGCAGGTGCTGTTATTTTCTTCCACAGTCCTAAGACTTACTGTCAGTATAACCATTGTCCCTGGGGTGTCTATCTGCCCTGCGATGGACTGGCCTCCTGCCCAAGGTGTATCCCGCCTTGCTCCCATTGCTTGCTGGGATTGGCTCCAGTTCCCCCTCAGCCCTGAGCTGGATAAAACCGATGGAAAGATGTGTCTCACGCCCAAGCAGCAGGCTTTCAGCCGATGGCTTTGTCACCGGCACACGCAGGTAATTCCTCAGAATTTGACAGCATTACCTGCATTCTTCTTCAAGGTTCTGTGCTCCGGCGCTGGAAGAAAAACTGGTTCGACTTGTGGGTGGACGGAAACCTGCTGTATTATGAAGACGAGAGCCGGAGAGACTATGAGAACAGGGTCCGCTTAAAGCATAAATGTGTCGCTGTTAAGGCTGGACTTGAATGTGCAGGTAAGATACGCACAGCTGATCCTCAAATCCTCTATCTTAACTACGCTTATTTCTTTCAAGAAAACCTTAGTAGCTTCTCAATATTGAAACAGAAAAAAAGAACATATATAAGGAAAAATCATACATTAGAAACAATTAAAAAATGACCAAAGCAAAAGAAAATTAATGAAGCAGTTATTTAACAGAGTGTCTTGTGGTCTGTATACCTTAAATAATGTCTCACTTATTCTAGCTCAGAAACACTTGCCTATTTCCAATTATACCTGACAGTCATTAGGGACTCAGGGCAAGAAAACCAGCCACATTTTAAAAAAAATTACTTTTCATTTCCACTCACTGTTGCACTCAGTCTTTCTAAATGGAGAGCTTTAAAAATCTTAGTGTACCACTTATAGATATTGGACCGTCTTCGACCCAATTAATTAGAATACATTTTCAAGCAACAAAGTACTTTTTTTCTAGGAGTCATACTGGTCACAGTTATCCATATCCATCAACGCATTGAGATAAACACATTCTGGTAATGGCTGCAGCATTGCAGAGCCTATTGCAGGTATAGGGCATGAGGCAAGTCAGCACATCCTGGAAGGGACACCAGTCTATTGCAGGGCTCACATACACACACAGGGTCAGACAATAAAGAGACATTTATTAACCTAATTTACTAGTCAGTCTGTCTTTAGACTGTAGGAGAAAGCAGGAACAGCTTGAGAAAAACCATGCCAACACAGTAGAACATGCAAACTCCACACACAGGGTGCCAAATCAAATTAAGGTTGCTAAAGGTAACAGTACTTCCCACCATCCACTCTGTTTCCATATATAAAGATGCACTACTAAATATAAAAAAACATCTAAGAGATGGTAATGATATATTTGATAAAATATATAGATTATATATATATTGATTGTCACATACTGCACTTCTTTCTTGGATTCAATATGTGTCCAATAAATCAAGCTCTTCAGAGTACAATAGAAATGCTTGTTTGGAGGGACACTGTTTTCTGTCCTGGCCCGAGCACTGCCTTCAGTCCTCGGAAATCGATGGTGTGAAACCCCATGTTGGCTTTCGTTGTTGGCGAAAGTGGAGAACTGTAATAGACCAGGACACTCCCTCACCTCTCCACATGCCCCTTCCAGGTGTGGACCCTCCGGAGGGCAGGCCAAGGGAATGCCTGGTACTGGTCTACCTGAAGGATGGCTCCAGACTGGCGCTGTGTGCTGACAGCGAAGACGAGGCGCTGTAAGTGCTCCCCATCTACGACTTCCTGACAGGAAACAGACAGACTGAAACAGGTTCCACCTGACAGAATCAAGTTGCTTATGATTATGTGTGTCTTACCTTGACAGCAAAATCCTTCTGAGGTCCCCTGTGCTGTAGTTACTAAACTCATTAAATTCAATGCCGTTTTGGCTTTATTTGTCATCTTGCCTTGAGATGTTTTTCGGATTTTATTGTTCACAGAGCATGGAAGCTGGCGCTGCTGGAAGCCAGGAGAAATCCGGTAAGAATCAGCTTTTTCTTTCCTTGATGAACATTATGACTGTAGATGCTGTATTATGTACTCTAGGTCAGAGATCTTCAGTTTTGATCCTGGAAAGCTGGTGAGTCTGCAAGTATCCGAGGTCTCTTTATAGCAGCAGTGCCTGAAAAACTAGAAGAAGCCGTTAAACTGTTCCAGTTAAGCCAGTAACCAGCTGATTTAGTTCATCATGAGTTGGGGTGGAATAAAAACATGGAGAGACTGTGGCCCTCTAGGACTATGATTAGACACCCCTGTTCAAGATGCTTTATTATTCTAGATATTCGTCTTTATAGTGAATTACATGGATTTCCATTCTTTCTACTACATTGTCCAGTCACACAGAATTTCAGATGCACTGTCTTGGCATCTCAGTTTAAATCACAGATACAAACAATACAGTGATCATACATTTTCAGAGATGACTTTATGAAGAGAGGCACAAAGAAAAACAACTCAATTCCAAACTATTGAACTTACCCGAGGCAGACATTTTCCTAATTGACAACTGTTTTTCTTCGTGGTTCCCTCTTTTGGAATTACTATTTATGATCAGTTTGGCTGTACTGCTTTAACCCTTGTACCACCCCAGGGGTTATCAGGACTTTCATATGTAGCTCTTAAAAACCCATTTTACCCATTGTGGCAAATCTGCGTAGTGTTTTGCGTTTTACAAAATGTTAACATGTCTTTATCATGTTGTATCTCTGTAAAGGTCTGTAAGTGGATCAAGAAATTACAGAGTACAATACGATGTCTCAGTCACAAGGCTGAGGATGTTGCTTTGTAGCTCCTGCACGTAGGCTGCTAGGATCAGGAAAGTGTGTGTCTGTCTTGGGCCTCTCCTCTTGTGGGTCCATGCCAAGCAGCCACTGCTCCTTGCCAGACTCTTTTCGGTGCAGAGCACTCACAATCTATCAAGCCTCCCATTAGCGTGAAAATACCTTGATGGCAACCCCTCGGGGATGCAGTTACACAGACCAGTCATTCCAGGAAAGCTGTACAGTTCATGAAGAAAAGAAAAGGTTCTGGCAGCGTGGGTACATCACAGGAGCACTGAAGGATGCGATAATTATGCTACAGATTCAGCAGTTTAGGGAGCAATATGATCACAGGCTTTCTGGAACAAAAGGCTCAGCAACTGTGCAGATACTGACACAGAAAGGTGTGCATGGCCATATTGAAGCTTTCCCGGTTGTATCTGATTGGAGACACTTCCATATTATGATTTATTCCAGAGCTGTACAGCATGATCACAGAATTATGTTTTTGTAAATCCGTTAATAACAGCTATTTTCTCTACTATACTGTCAACTGTGAGTGGGGGATACACTGCGGTGTGATGGGTAAGTCTCTGGGCCGCTGGGTTATGGGTTCAAGTCCCTGCTGTAGACACTGCTGTTGTACCTGGGTGAGATACTTTACCCCAGTTGCTCCAGTCCTCCCAGCTGTGTTTGGGGGAGGGGAGTCATGTCCTCTCAGTCTTATTTGTGATAAGACTGCCATGGCTTACTGCCATGGAAACAGGGACATGCTCAGGCCCAATGAGCTGATGTGGCTCAGGTATGGAAATTACCTTCTCTACCTACTGCCTGGTGTACACATCATTCAGCATACAGTAATTTGCCAAGACCGTTGAGCCATGTATTCTCTATCTGTATTTTAGTTCAATGACATAACTTTAGAAAACGTGGGTTGTGAACTTTTAACAACAATATGACAAAGGTAGTACTGGGACCACAGATCAATTTCATCATTTAAGAAAAAATAATGGTTTCCTCAGCCTACTGGAGTCTTATCAACAGCCACTGGCTTGTGAGCTACTGTATTTTACAGCACTATGTGTGTGAGGTGTGGCGTTTCTGATTAATGTCCCCATTGCTGTAAGTTAGGTCTAATAAGAACAACTAGAAATTAAATCACCCCACCCCCACCACTGTGTGGGAGGCCCATTGAAGCTTATCGTGATCAGCTCTGATTGCGCGTTCATCATGATTAATAGGGGAATGAGTCTGTAATGAGTCTGTAATGCAGTGGGGTGGGACATTGGGACATCCGAGAGAATGATACATACTGCTGCATGTGTCTGCTCTCAGCATTTTTCAGACTTCACTTTGGATCCAAAAGACATTTGGATATGGTCATCTGGATAAATTTTGAACCATTTAGGTCAAAGAGTTAACTGACAAGGTGCAAACCTGGTTTAAACAATATTTCTGCTCCTTGCATCTGTATGAAAACATATCAGTGCGTGTCTTCTTTAATTGAATCTGTTTTCCTTTTGTGCATGGTCTGCCATAACACCATATAATTTCTGTGTCACTCTGACATGTCCTCGTGTCTGTTATTTAACACTCTCATGTCTTATCTTGTGTTTAATAGTCTTATTATCATCTGTTTATTTATAAAGCCACAAAGAGCCCAGTGTGGAACTTCAGAAGGTGTAAATCTGAATTAAATCATAAGTAATCTTTTAATGGTGAAATAGCTTATACACTTGAGAAATTAAGAGGTACTGACTCAAGAGCCCCTGGCCTCTCTTTCCTTATCTTCCATCTTTAAACCTTTTCTGTCAGAGAAGAATACCAGGAGCTCAAGCTGTATTACATCAAAGGAATGCACTAATGTCCTCGAGAAGACCATCTGTTCTCTGTGACATTTAAATAATTACTTAAAATAGGAGGTAGCTGCTGGATTTAAGTTCATTTCTGAGCCTGACTCAGAAGTGTAATTTTGACAATTGGTGTGATTCGCACTGTGCCTCTGAGACTTGTAATGTTTTTAATTAAATTCCTCTTCTAATGAATAATTCACGATTCCTCATATATATAAAAAATCTGCTCTTGTACTTAATTACTGAGTGTAGTTGCTTATTTGAGCTTACGTATGAAAGCTCTCTATCTAGTTTTAATATAATGTCCCTAAGGAGCAGGGCATTTAATTTGTGTTAGTGTGGCTGACACACAGCCTAAGGTAATGCCCCAAGCTAAGAGTGTGTGGAAACTGGCAGTAAATTCATAGCAATGTTTTACTGCAACTTTGGTTGTTTTTCCCTGGTAGTTTTAAATAATTTATCAATATACATCATCCTTTAAGTATCCTGAATGCAAAAAGGAACAAACTGTTTGCTGTTCCGTAAGTGATAAAATCAGGGAAATGGAGCATAGCTATCACTAACATAAAGGAAATAGAGGGTAAAGTTACTGTACATAGGCTAAGTGCTTCACCTTTCTTGGTTTAACTCAGCAGTTTTTCACAAGCTCTTAACCCACAGAAAAGGAGTTGCTGCCAGCTGGTGTGGAGAACAGTGGAAAGCTCTGCAGTATCCCCGTTAATGTGTTGATCAAGCTGTGTACTGTCGCGCTGAAGTCCAGTGCCCCTGGGCAGTGTGCTATCATTGAGCTATCCCTTCCCTTTCCAGCTCGTTATAGCCAAGTAAAGACAAGGGGGTCAGACCAGAAGCAGTTTTACAAAGGGAAGCGTGGAATCGATTTATTTTTCTTTTCTATCACTACACGGCATGTGTGCCCAGTGCTGTGGGTGCAAAATCTTTTAAGAATATTGAGGACTGCCTCATGTTGCTGCTATGACAGTTAATGCAGGTCTGTGGCAGGCAGACGTGTCATCAACAACTTTGACTGTATCGGCTAGAAACTCTTCAGAGTATCAGAGCTGGAATCATTTACAATGGAAAGACGAATGAAACAAACAGTAAAACAAACTCTGACTTCACTAGCAGAGACAAAGGTTAAGCTATTTTAAGTGTTCAGCAATGTACAATAACAAGCAAATCATATTTTCTAACCTTCACAATTCTGAGACAGAAGAATAAATCAATATGTATTGGATGCTGGACAAGAATAGAACTGGTTGATTGCTGTATCTCACCAACAGAGGTCACTGGAGATCTCAGTTCAGGATAGATTCTGAATTGAAGACATTCAAGACGATGAAATGTCTAGGCTTTTCCTCCAACCATTTCAAACTCCATCCCTATATTTGTTAGTCGTCTAATGTCCTCATTCATTTTGAGATGGCAAAATTCAACAGTCCTATTTCTGTATTCCTGCAATTAAATCCATTTCCTGTCAGTTCCACTGGGTTGTAATGAAATTGTGGTCTCCTGTGGGGCCCTAAAAAGGAAAATAGTTCCCGAATTTCTGTTCAATACATTACATCTGCGTGGTTTGTGTTGAGAAATGCTACACCACAGGTTGGTTTTTAATATTTATTGTTTGCTGTAGCTGTATTTCAGCAATGTTGTCATAGAACAAAAAGACGATCATCTCAATGCAGAGCTTGAATTCCTTCTATAAAAGACTAAGGGGCTTTCTGACTTCTTTGTCTCCATAGGTGTACACTTATGATCCTTATGATGACTCTTATCACACCGTCCCTCTGGACAGTCACAATGCTGTCTACATCAGCCCTGCATACCCAGGATATGGCTATGGAGGTATCTCAACATCCCCTTTTTTTTTGTGGCGTGTCAGGCTGTTACGAAATGCCCACACTTTGGAAATCAAGAGGCTGGAGTATTAGTTCACAGAGGCTTTGTGCTTTTGAACTCGGCAGAATCACGCCAAAACGCTTCATTGAGAGAGATCGCGCAATCGAAATGAAAATTAAGCACACCAGAAAAACAAACCATCAGCACTGGATTGGCTGATGTTATTCTTTTAACCTGTTAAATACGTTTACCTGGAAGGAGAGTGACAAAATGCATTCAAAACACATGCATCTATAAATGCAGGAGGAGCATCTCACCTTATTCTCTCTCATGCTCCATTCCCCGTAGATGTCAATTTCTTTCATAGCTTTAAACGAGATATACCTTAAACCTTACCCTTCTTGCTCATCCGTGCCTGAATACTAGTCATGGACTATCTACTGTATTTTATATTAGGCTCAGTATTGTTCACGACACCTAATGCTACAAGAATACAATATGTCTTCTGGGATTGGGAAAGCACTTGTTGATAACCATTGTCACTCTAAGCCTCATTTACTCTCATATCTTTTAAGCATATAAGACTGGTTAAAAACGAGTGGTGGCATTTGGCCCATCTAACTCATTTGTTAGGAGGTAATTAACCCAAGGCTCTCGTCCAGCCGTTTTTTGAAAGACTGCAGGTATCGGTTTCAACCACATGGCTGGGCTGTTCCACACTCCCCCAACTCTTTGTGTAACAGGAATGCAAGAAGGGCTACAAGGGCGTAAGAACGGTTTCTGACATAACGGCTCATGTCCTCCCTCCCTCCACCTGCAGGCCCTCAGCACGTGCTGGTTCACAGCGACCCCTGTGAAGGCGTTGGGACGCAGGTGGCTCTGGGGCTGCTGGCTGGCATGGCCACCGGGGCGGCGCTGCGCTCTCTGATGTGGATGCCCTTCTGGTTCTGTTGAGGAGATCGTCATGGCGAGGGGCTACAGTAAAGCACCTTCACTGGCCAGCTACGTCTACTACATCCCCACCCAAAGGCTGTCAGGGCTGTTAAAAACTGTTAGATCACAACAAAAGGGACATTTTTAACTAAGAAAACCATGAGTTAGGAAACACTGGAACACAGAGCAGCTTCTACCAAAGCTTCGTAGTTGTGAGATGAGGAAGAATGTCTTTTTGTGGTGTTAAACAATGATATCCTTGTGAGGTTGTTTTCAGAACCTGGAAACAGTTTGACTTCCTTTGTAAAGGTTTACAGTGAACTCATAATTAAGCACGGACAAGCATGATAAAGCATGAAACAACCAAAAAATGATGGGAAAACTATAAACATATTCTGCCAGATAAATCAGATTTCTAAATGAGAGGCATTTAAAGCACAACAAAAAAGTATTTGAACCAAACCTCTTGTGCTACACTCACAATTATTGGGCTACAGTTTCATTACTTTAAATTTTAATAATAATAATTTGAATAAAGACAATAAATATTTCTAAAGACTCCGATATACTGTTTACAAAATTATATGATGGATTTAAACAAATGCAAAAATTGTGCTTATTAAAGCAGGGAGAAGCCATATGTACTGTATATTTGCAATAATTTCTATATTGTGAGTTTCACAGCAAAGCATTATTACAATAAAGGCTATCAAAAAACCTTTAGGGCTGTTTCTGTTGTACAGAGTGTTTGAATCAATGAAACTAGGCATGTTTTTGTTCGTTTTCTCACAGACCATTAGTCATGTGACAGAGCATTTAACTGCCAATTGGAGGGATTAAAAAAAAATCACTTGGGTTGTCAGTTAAACAGATGTTCAAACCACTCAAAAATATTTTCATAGAAGTTTCAAATGCCCATGTAAAGAGAGTTTGTGTGTCCGTTTTTAAAAATGTCTTGCATTTTCTCACCAATTTGACATTTGTGGAAAACTGGCCTCTGTCTCAGACCTGGTCAGATCTAGATGTGTGCAGCATTCACACGCACATACGGACACTGCCCGACTGCTTTTCACAATCTAGGGATAGATTTAAGTGAATTATTTAATTGAATCCTTAGAAACCAGGAAGGCCTCAAGACAACTTAGTAAAAAGAAGATTTTTAAACACTCCAACTTTACACCAAGCAGTAACTCTGCCGGAGAGAATATGTCGTCCTTTGGATAAAAAACCTTCCTTCTTTGTTTGCTGTCCCTTCATCTGGTGGTGAATCCCAGAGGCTCCGCCTGCAGAGGGACAGCGGACTGTTAGGGCAGAGCAGGGTCTCAAGCCCAGCAGGATCACTCACAGCTGCACCTCAATTGTAATGACTCACTGACAAGGAAAGATATTAGACTCAATGTCCATTTTCTACCAGATTTGAGCCACTGGGATTCTTCACTTACAGGAGTTTGCTCTAAAATGCTTTATCCTTTAAAACTCTGTCATGAATCACTCTAAATGCACATGAAAGATTAGGCTTCTGAGTACCTTATTCAAGACAGCACCAGATGAAATTTTGTTCTCAGACTTACAAATTAAGTCTGAGTTATACAAATTACACTCTTGCAAAACTAGGAGGAATAACAAACACGCAGCTCGATTAGAAGTAAACCACAAACTATCGGATGGTTACAGATTAATTCGAGTTGTTATCATTTGTGATAAACGTGAAAGATTTTCAGAAATGGAAAATAAAAATCAACCACCAAGTTTTAAGATGGCAAAATCACATTAAACTGTGTAACTGCAATATGACTGCAGATAGTTTAGCCCTCAGGCTAACTGAACATAGTGGCATTAAGCTCATCTATCTGGTAGCCGATTTTCAAGTGTTTAGCCCAAGTTCATAGACTATATTTAGAAAACACGTTCTCCAAAAACGTCAGTTGTACTACATGACATGACGTTTATTAGCCACTAGAGGGAGATAACAACTATAGAACAATTAATGTAACGCTACCAATACAAAGGTAGAAAAGGAGCATATTCACATCGACATTCACTCATCTATCCAGTTTCAATCCACTGTCCTACTATCACGTTTTTGCCTAATTAAACAATTTTAATTCATTTTTAATTATGTCACAGCTCTTAGGCTCCGGGATCAATTCTGGCTTGTTCAGTATCTGCATGTTTCTCCCCATGTTCATGTGGCTTTGTGCTCAGTCCTGTTTACACAGACCTCCCAAAGACACATTTGCAATGTTAATTAGTGTTTCTAAATTAGTGTGCTTTGTGACTGTTGGTGCCCTGTGATGGACTAGTGTACCGTCCAGGGTATGGTCCTGCCTTGTACCCTATGCGTTTGGGATAGGATGCAGGTTGCTGTGACCCCAAGTGAATTTTTCATAATCGAAAGAAAAGGAAAAATAGAAATTCTCCTGGATGCATTTTTCCTATAATTGCCATACAGAATTCTAAGCAATTTAAAGACGTTTACTTGCTGCACTGCCATCCCATGGTGACTAATTCAGCAATCAAATAAAGTCCTGGCACTGGCCTTGTACGGAAATATAATACAGTATTTTAGTAGCTGACAATAAAATATCATTACCACTTCAAATACGACACCAATGAAGGTGCACAATTATATATTAATATGCAATTGCTGATTGCATCTCAAGCAGCCAACACGTAAGTACTGTAATTAGTGCTTTATAGTCATACTCTATAACTCCAACCTTTCTAAATACTGCATGGTTCTTGTGGAAAACTCAGAAATGAACATTGAAGGATCTGTGAAATACGTCTGACAGTTAAAGGTCGGTTAAGATCGAGGACAGGTCTGCAGATTTGAACGAAAGTTCTTAAGGAATTCTTACATCTTGTCCAACCTGAGTGGCTGTAACACACACACCGACACAGCTAAAAGGAATTCATTTCCAATGTGTTCATAATAATGATGAATAATTCCTTACACATATATAGCGCTTTTCTGGACAGGAAATCTTTACAGGAAATGGGGACTCCCCTCCACCACCACCACCAGTGTGACGGCAGCCATAGTGCACCAGTACGCTCCCCACACACCAGCTATCAGTGGGGAGATTCATGTATTATAGGTTAGTGAAAAGTTATTGATCAAACTGACTAGCAGGAAAGATGAAACTGCCTCAATGTGCTCCAACACCTGGCAGCATGGATGAGCTGACGAGCAGCTGTGTAAGAACAGCACCTGCCAGTCAGACAGCGCAGCTCTTCTCCTTTCAGAGCAGTCCAGTTCCCCTCCACCCCCCCTTTCCCTCTGACTGAGCCAGCCAGAGCAGCCCTGGCATCCCGTGCTGCACGACTGCACACACACCCACGCCGCCTCGCAGACACACACGCTTTGCAGCTCCCAGGCTGTGCTGTCCAGCCCAGCTCAGCTCCGCTCAGCCCAGCCCAGCTCCGCTCAGCCCAGCTCAGCCCAGCCCAGCTCCGCTCAGCCCAGCTCAGCCCAGCCCAGCTCAGCCCAGCCCAGCCCAGCCTGCGATTTTCACTGCCTCACCCCTCCCCAGCCTCCCCACTGCTGTCATTGTCTGAACTCTGCTGAGCTCCCTCCACTAATTGCCTCTCAAAATTCATCAGGCAGGCTGTCCGTGTCTGTTCCACCTTTCTATTTTTGGCCACTTTTAAAGACGCTCGGCAGAGGGGTGAAAATATAAAACTTCAGAAACATTTCTTTGAACCATACATCCGCTACTTTCGACTTTAGAAGATAGGATGTTACTAAAGCTGGCTTGAGAGTAGCAAGTTTAAACATTTTGCAGGGGGTTTATCACTGTGTTGCCAGATTTATAGTTCAGGCAATTTTAGTGTTTTAAAAAACAAATGTTGACTTTACAGAGATGTTACCCCAGCATCCAGGCTAAACTTCCCCCTGGCCTTTACCAGTCATGGCCTCCTAATAAGCCCCATCTATGAACTGGCTTCATCACTCTGTTCTCCTTCCCACTGATAGCTGGTGTGTGGTGAGCATGCTGGTGCACTATGGCTGACATCGCATCATCCAGGTGGGGCTGCACACTGGCGGTGGTGGAGGGGATCCCCATTACCTGTAAAGTGCTTTGAGTGGAGTGTCCAGAAAAGCACTATATAAGTGTAAGCAATTATTATTATTAAGATCTAGCAACCAATAATAACACCATAGCCTAAGGCTTATCTCACTGTATCACAATTTTAAGGACTGTCAGAAATCTCAGCTACCGCCTATAACAACAGACAGAAGCCTTATCTCATTCATAATGTTCTGTCAGCCAGTAACACTAAACCACTGCACTTTGTAGTAAAGAGCCAGCAGGCAAAGGAAGTTTCCCCTGGTCAGCTGGTCATTTAAAGGTCCTCAGAATAATGCAGCCACAGCTCTAGAAGTTCATCTTGTATTTAAACTACCATTCTGTCGACTGACAAGGATTTTTACAAGATGGTGTATTAACAAGGATTTTTAAAAGATGGTGTATTAATTTAGAAAAACCTGCTAACACAGGGACAGTGTCTCATTACTTTAAATTAGCTACAGTTCTTAACAGCCGTACCAAACGACTTGAAGACATTACCAATGACTCAGATGAAGAAGCAAGATATCATTGTCTGAATGAATGTCTGGATTATGATTTGAGAGATTTTTTTTTCATCCTCCTACCCAGGCCAATGATATAATAGACACTATCCTAGCATGTCTAGAGGGATTCAGTGATCTGAATCCTCTGTCAGCCCTTTTAAAATGCAAACTGAGGAACATTCTTCAGTCTAGACGGCTCTTTAATCAATTGTAGCTCATGACTCAGAACATATAAAATTAAAAGTTAATAAGACAGTGACAAAGACAATTCAAGTATGCATGGGGGAAATAAATTCAACACTTTCTACTTAAACACAGTATTTGAATAGATTCACTATTCATCCTTCTTTCCAAACCTCTTATATGTTCAGCTTAAAACAACTCCATGTACAATATTTCTTTATTTACGATCTAAAATATATTACAAAATATGAACTATTTACTAATAAATGTCGAACAAACTTGGTGAAGCTTTCTCAGTACTGGGTTAAGGCACAAAGAGATGTTTAAATCATGATATGATTACTGATAACACGGTAAATAAGAACAAGTTCCTCAATTTGAAAAGTTGACAACTTGTCTGAGTGAAAAATATTTATTCATTTAGCCTTTAGAAACTTTTCTCCTTTTGGAAAGAGATTGTTACTACAAACACTACAAATGGGACAGTTATAAGACAGGAAACCCACATGTATAGACAGACAGAAACACTTCAAGGGGAAATTCATTTCACAACAAGCATTTTATTAATCTTCATAAAATTAGAAGCTGTTAACAGGCATGCTATTAACCTTTTCAGATCTTTTTTTTCAATGAAAGAAGTGAGATGTTTCAGCAGGGAACAAAAACAATGATTCTTTGTTAGCAAAATGCTTCCATTTTTCTGACTAGTACAGATGCTTACTCATTCCTTTTTCAAAGTAAAGACCCACATCTTTGTTTCAGCTACAGTAATAAATAAAAGCCTGTACTAACACGCAGCGTGGGCTTCACGATTCAGCAGGCTGAACAGACGGATCTTGTGTGGGTTGGAGAGACAAAAAAATCTCAGGAAATTCTTGATGACGTTTAAAGATCCAGTAAGGTTCTGAGTAAAGATTCTACTTCCAAATTAGTGATGACAATGGAGACAGAAAGATGGAAGAGCATAACGAACCATACATACTATCCTGTTACTAATGAACTGTATGCTGTATCTTTGGAAAGGGTGTTGGACTTAAAATGATCGATTTCCCAGTATTTTATCTCTGCGAACATGTTCCTGCACCAGTAATGATATATGGAAATTATAATAATTGCATGTGTAATATGACTTTACCTTATTCACCCTACTTCTTAAAATGAGTAATGCCATTCCTCAAGGGTCATATTTCTATAGGCTTTAGTTGTAACTACAGGTAGATTAACAGCTTCTCCAAATCTTTATGTAATTAAGTTACATTGAGGTGGAAAGGAAACCATGCAACAGAGGAAATTAAAAATGATTACAGCTCATCCCTGATTGTAAGATTAAAATTAAAAACAGTGCTGACTTTGTAACCATTTGCATTTAACCTACAGGCTTGTGAAAAAATCTATTCATGAGGCCATTTTCAAAATGTTAACATTAAACCAGTACAATTTACGCCCATGGATATCCCCCAAAAAAAAACTTATCTCATGGGATTGATGGACCTCACAAGAACCAAGGAAACGGTTTACACTTTTATTCACCCGCACACTTCACTACACTATCAACAGATTTGAAAGATTTAACAGATTTTTAAAAATTGCATTTAAACAATGATTAAAGATTCTTGATTTATAAACAGGCATTACTTTAAAGGCTTCATTTTAAAATTCTTTGCCATGGTTCTCCTCACTGCATTCAAGGCTTTCACTCAGAGGTGATTTGCTTAGGTGTGTAACATTAGCCATTAAAATGCATTAATATTTTGCACCCCTTTTCCAGATAAAACAAACACAAACTGAAGACAAAGTTCAGGACACAAGTAAGGTAATTGAATAGGCAGATGTTTTATTTAATTTTCTGTTCAGGCTTTGGGTATTAACATTGTCAAACAGAGGCTGAGGTACTGGTGATGTTTCAATGACAGAACTAGTTTCCAGTTTCTTTGCATTGCGTCTGATCAGCACTCCTGCGTCTCTCCAGAGCTCTTCCTAAATCACAACTCACCCTGCCCTGCACCGGCCCACACCCATTGACAAAGCATACAGAAAATCAGTAATGAACAAAGAGTTGCACTGGCACAACAGTCAAGCCAAAGTGGACTGTGATGTGTTTAGAAACCCTATATCTACTTCAAAATTACAATAGCCTATATCAGCTTAGAATTTAGAAGTGTCACACATTCCGATTCCACTAAGAAAGAAAAGAGAGAAGTTATTGTTCAGACAGAAATATTTTTAACAAGCTTTCTTTTTTTTCCTGTGTTTAAGGATATGCATTAAAAAGTCATGCTTCAAAACCAAGTTGTGAACATTACAATCTACAGCCTTTAAAATCAATGGCCCAATTGAACTTTTTGTTTAATATTTACTGTATATCGTGTTTCCTTGTGGCACACAAAGGCTTTAGACACTTGTATTTTTTTTTCTATCAGGTGATTTTTTTAAATGTACAAAAAAGTAGCAAAAGTTTACACTATTTTGTATAAGAAACCCAAGCTGCCAGACTATGTATATTAAAACCATATTGAAGAAGCAGGAGAGTGTTAAGTGCTCTTAAGCCAGTAGAAAGCCAGGAATCAACAATACATAACAAGACTTGTCAAGCAGGATACGCAGCTGTGTTTCTGTTAAAGATCAAGGATAATAGAACCTTGTGTGTAGTAAGCAAGGCTCCTACAAGCATTTGATGTTTGTGGACGACATATTTTTTAATTATTAACAAGGATACATCCAATTGTATAGCAACAGGAAATCACGACAGCGATGAAACCGATCAACCAGGCACATTTTTTACCAGTACTTTAATCTTTACCAAAAAGCTATTTTGCACAGTCACTAAATACAGTTCCTTTATGGATGACAGAGACTGTGTGCCACAACTAATTTTAGCAGTGCAAACATGAGCTTCTGTGCACAGTAGCGGTGATATCTTTTCTTTTATTAAAAAAAGAAAAGGAATTAGAGGTAACTAAAATAAAACTAGAACTTTTCCAGACCATTGCACTGTACCACATACTGGGTAGAATCTGCAGTAAGTAACAGGAATATAAAGATTTAAAGTATGTTCTTGGAAAAGGGATCAAAAATAATGTAAGACACTAACTTAAAAAAACTAAATGACTTTTGTTTTAAAATAATTACAATAATAAAAAAAACAATCCGGTAAAAATAAATATGACAGAAATTGGTTAATTAAATGAACAAGTTAAATATCAACAAACATCTGAGCTAAAGTGTCATATTCAAGAAGGTTAAATCAAACTTTACAAACCTAGCAAAACCAAACCAGTGGAAGCCCTAAAGTATTAATGCTTCAAAAAAGGCAAATCTGCATATTTTGTCAGGTATCAAATGCGATACTTCCCTTACAAAACCTGCTCTCGCGTTAAATGAGATACTCCCCACATTTATACAAGTTTATTTTCAATCAGTTCTGTGGATTCCAAGTTTTTAAAAAATAAAAAAAATAAAATTTATAACATAAGTATTAGGTGAAAACGGCAGGCAAACTGAAGATATCCTTTCCTTCAAAAGATCCCAATCAGAAAACCAGGTCATTTGATCAAAGTGTTAAAACATTTTATTCAAGAGTCATACTCCGTAATAGTTCCATCATTGTTTCATCTCCTTTCCCAACATAATTCTTTTGTTCTCAATTTAAGGGATCTCCAGTACCATCCCCCATTTAATTTATTATTTAAAAATTGTCTTAAAGATGAAAGGATACATGCCTCCTAATAAACTTTGCATTCTATCACCAAGAGAGGCAATTATTGCCCCATGATGATGTCTCTATACTCCCTTTAAAAACCAGATTACAATGTTATACTTTGTTATTTCAACACACTAATGTCCATTATGTTTGCTTTCCATGTACTGAACTCAGTATGTTTATTATTTGAATCTCATCAAGGTGATATAAAGACCAGCGTGTGTACCACAGCTTTTCACGCCAAGCCTAAAACAACTGCACTCCTTGATGTGCATTATTTCACAAACAATAAAATGAAACTCTGACATCTGTTGGAACTGTACAACAATTTCGTTAGCCTTTAAAGATCACAAAACTCATCATTCCAGTCCATTGTTTGTGCTTGAGAAGCTAACAGGTCTTTTTTTATGAGACAGTCAACAATGGTAAAAAAAAAAAATTCCTTTCCTTTTTTTTATATGTAGTGTTTTGATGTTTTTCTGATGGGGAAAAATACAAGCTGATATTCACACTGCAGCTGATGGGAATGAGATAAGCAGTGGCATTTAATGACAGAGACAGAGAGAGAAAGAGCAAGAATGAGATACAAGGTATTAACACGAGCACCCCCCCTCACTGACTGGCTGTTCTGGTGGTTTTTCAAGCTTTATGTCGATCACTGGAAAAACTGTTAAGGAAGATACTGTATTATACAAAGACCAAAAACAATCAACACCTTTACTATTTACTGTAAAAAAAGTTAATTTACAAAATGCTTACGTCTACACGTTGTTGCAATACAAGACCGAGTTTAAGGCTATTTCCAAAAATCTGATCATTTTTAACGGATTTATTTATTGTTAATGATTAAACAAATGAACATTCCAGGTGAAGTACATTTGCAAAAAACAACCTTGCTTTAAGTGTCCTGGGAAAAGAGTTGGGGATAATTAGCTCTTCGCTAAACTAGGGCAAGAAAACCCGGGTACCAACAAAAAGTCTGTCCTACTAAATTCCTCACTTCCCCAGCTTTTAGCTTGGGGAGGTAAGGAATACTCAGAGGTACAAGTCATAGGTTTATTCCATGCTGAAAAGAGAAGAAAGAAAACAATGTTTCGGCTGTGGGCCTTCTTTGGGTGTGAATATACTCAGAGGTATTTTAGTACATCAAAGATTTCCAGAACCTTAGGAAAAACAACGAAGGTTAATTAAGAAAGAAAATTGCATAAAGGCTCCTGATGGTTCAGCCATAAAGATGCTCTTTTGAAGTGCAGGTTGATCTCCATGGTCAGGGCTACCCCATTAATTCAGTGTGAACAGGATGCCCCAAAAACCTGCGTACAACTGGCTAAATGCAGTCAGGTTTGGATGGCTAGGGTGACCACTGTGACTTGCCAGGTGTCTGGGAATTTGAAGTGCTGGCAGAGATGCAGCACTCCTCCATCTGATACTAGCTGTGGGCACTCCACAGTGCATGCGTCAGAGGCAAGTAAGCACAATATGCATCTTTTTTGCTTTGCAGTGGCAATGAGCAAAGCTGCTTACTCGGAATTTCGCATTTATCATCATGTCCTTCTTTTCAAGTACGTCTTCAATGTAATCATCATAAAATATTGATCCACAATGCTTGTGTTTAGCTCCACTACCAAAAACCATGCCAGTAATTGCATGTGGACTGGAGCACAGAAGAAAAATCAAATTCAGTCTAGCTGCTTTTAAACCATGAACACAGAAGCTGTTAAAAAGGATACTGTCTTCCCTGCTCTTGTCCTGTGTGCTTTCCATTCCAGGTAAGGCAGCAGCTACACGTCGGAATAGCTGTGGGGAAAGAACAGAGCTCTAGGGTTATCTGGTAGACAACCGCTGCAAAGAAATGAAATAGCCTCAGGCAGGAACATTTTGGATGTCTGATTCAGATTGGCTAATTGGCACTGGCAACTGTAAGGCTTTGCTGATACATGAACTGCTAATCACGTTTAAAAAAGTCAAATGGGCAATGTTAGGTTGAAGGATAAATAATAATTGTGCACAGAAGCTAAAATAAACAGCTATTTATTGCCATATTTTTATTTTAAAACATTACTCTGTTCATTGCATTCATTGCTTTAATTTATAAACTCATCAAAAACTATAAGCAAGTTTTAAGATACTAAACCTGTAAGTCTCAGATGACATAAGTGATCAAAATCAAGAAAAAACAGTGAACTAATTAAGCATCATAAAGAACAATTAGAACCAAAAATAAGATTCCTTGTTTCACAGCCATTCAGTCTTTCTTGCAACACCCAGTCAGATTCAAAAGTCAAAGCTTCACTCAGAGATTCAGAGAAAAAACAGACCGGTTCTACCAAGCAGTGCAAATCCTTCCTTAAGGCAGAATCAAATCTTAAAACAGACCCTTAAACCAAAGTGAAAAAATACATTGATATCAAGATTGTTTTTCCAAGGTTCTTAAATTTATTGGGTGTTTGGAGACTTTGGTAATCAGATTTTGACACTCTTATTTAGCACCATCTTATGAGAGAGTCTTACCCAAACCCAGAAATGTTATGACAGCTTTTTTTCCCCAAATCCAGACCCACATTGTAAAAGAAAATCATACATTAGGGTACGTTTTAAGAATGTTTCCATTTACAGTAACACTTTAAATCTTCAATGATAAAAAATACCACAACAAACACTTGAAGTACCAGTACGTATGCCTACAATATGCATAAGAGAAGCTGTGATTGAAGACATGTTTTTCAATACAAAGTTATGTAATCAAATGTGGTCATATGGTCAGTAGAAAACATGGATTAAAGGCTTGCATCTTTTTCCTGAGCTCTGATAATTCAGGAAGTATTCTTTTTAAAAATGGCATTAAGTTCCTGTAACAAAGAACTGCTTTAAAACAGAAAAGCAGTACTCTATAAAAGTGATCAGAAACAAAAAAGCAAAGAAAATGTTAACTTCAGAACCATATGGACACATTTGAAGTTATGCAGAAACTTTTGGAAATAGCTGCATTATGGTTAAGTTACTGGATTCAGATCCTGTCACAGATTCTAGATACAAATGAAACTGTAGGTCATGTGACACAAAAACCTGTGTAGCAGTTGGCAATTTTTTCAGTTGTCATCCCTAGCTATGTATTATGCATTATCTTCGGGTCCTGAAGCATGATTTTTACTTTGGTTCAGAACAGAGCTTTTGAGTTCTTTTTAAAGGTACCTATATATAAAATATATATATATAATATATATATATATTGAGAGGCTGATGACCTGAAGGCTATAGGTCTCATTCAGGACTCTAAGTGGAAGCATTTACCTGATGAGACACTCAGAGATCCCATGCTTTTTCTCTAAATTAACACTATGATGTTGATATACTTTTGTCTGATTCTACCTCCTTCTACTTTACACAGAAATGAATTATGGAAACATACAGGCCTCAGTGTCCATTTACATGACTGTTTTACTTTATATGAATAAGAGCACAGACACTGACCTTTCCATAATCCAATAAAACCCAATATATCAACCATAAATGGTGTGACCAGTGAGGAAATGATAGTTTAGTCATGCAGATTTAAAGTATGGACAGAAATAGTGAAAAGGTTAAAAGAAACCAAGAATAGTTCTTGGCTATAACACTTTTCTTAGAAGTACTGATGAAAATTGGTAAAGAGTACATGGCCCTAATACAGAATTGTCAAACTGTGATTCTCTGTCCCACACTAAAACAGCATGCTCTACCTGCTTGACATTGTAGCCTGTCTTTGCACTTGTTTCAATAAAGAGAACATTCAGCTCTTTGGCTCTCTGCTCTCCCTCCTCAGTTGTTATTTGCCTGTACGGGAGGCAAGACACAGGGACAAAAACAACAAAACAAAAAAAAAAACATAAACAAAAAAAGTAAAAGGGAAATACACACTGCGTCATCTGCTTGCTGCTGTAGCCAAATCTAAAGCACAGTGTAGAGGACGAGCCTGGGAATACAGACTTCTGGGAGGTTTTCATCAGCATTACAATACTCTAACAACTAATGAACTTCAAAATACGATTAACTTTAGAAGATTTTTCACCAAATTCATTTTTTATTCAATCTGTCTAAAACAATTATTTTTATTTTGCATCATTTTTCTTTCCGCTTATTTAATAGGCTATGGACAGGTTTGTGCGTAATTAAACATTTTTCCCCATGAATAACAACTACCGCTTATGTTACACGTACCTAAACGAATAGGATGTGGAACCATCACGACTGCACTTTCATGAGCTATGAAAGATGGAAGCATGGATATGCAGCCATACAATTCTGCACTACAAAACGAGAAATGATCCCACTATTCTATACAATTTTAATTTTAATTGTTGAAATTTCATCTTTAGAAATGTACAACAGCAGCAAACATAATTCACAGTGTCCAATTAGTGCACAAACTCACCTGTTTAACATTGTATCCTGCTTTAGCACTAGTTTCAATAAACATTACATTCAGCTCTTTGGCTTTCCTCTCGCCCTCTTCGATAGATACTTGCCTGTAGCAAATAGAATGTCAAAAGGTGCGATATATATGCAAATGCATGAAACAAGAATCTTTTGAATTTAAATATTTTAGACTACAAAAAAATGTTAAGTCTCTATACTGACACCGATAAATGAAAAACTGTATGATGCCCAAAAGATGTTCATACATAAAAAGCATTAATATTCATGAAATGCTAACAAAAAGGTATCCGCAACTGTAAGGACTGCAAATGTACTGTAAACCACGCTTCCGCAAACAAAGGTTATGAGAGGTATTGATACAATAAGAGGTATTGGTACAATAAAATGATAAATGTAAATTACTGAAATGAGTAACACAGAGGTATCCAATTATGTGCTGTCTTCATGAACAAGCCTGTTTAAGTGTAACCTTGTATTGCTAATTTAATGATTATCATTTAAGTAGGAATTAAATCACAGAGACTTCCATGTATAATTATTTAGGATTTGCTGCATTTTTACATATAAATTAAATTGACAAAAAAGGCCACAACCTTCGTGGATAACTTAAATTAAGAAAACTACAAACTAGAGAATACTATTCAATAAGAGATAACTGACACTTTGTAATTGTGTACTGTTTTCCAAAAATCAATACACAATAATATTTAATACACATACAACAGTCACATAGCACAATTGCTGAAGCCTCTAGACTGAAAGACGGTCACTCAGGGTTTGGTTTAAACAGAGGAACTGGCACAAATAAATGATGGGACCCAGGGTCCTTTTAACAGAGTATGGACTAGATCAACACAGGTCCATGGCCATACCTTTTATCGGCAAGATCTGTCTTATTTCCAACCAGCATAATGATGACATCACTTCCTCTCTCCGTTCTGACATCATCAATCCATTTTGTGGTTTGTTGGAAAGAATTTACATCTGATAGGAAATAACGAAGTTAATAACTCTTTTTGATAGAGACCGTGAACAAAGCGATTACTGTGATATCAACAGGACAATACTCTGAATCACTATATTAACAGAATCCTCTCATTGACCTTTACATAGTAACCATTATTCAAGTCACTCATGTACAACTCAGGTTTCTGGTGAAAATGACCCTGCAAACAATGCATCAAGATTATACTTAAATGATCAGCAATTAAAAACTTTGGAAAATAAGTTAATAGCTTTGCAGAACACAAGGTAGGTAAAATAACAGGAAGGTTCTATGAACTTGAGCTGTGCATTCCTTGTACAGATGAACCAAGAATACCAGAGGTCAGATGAAATCCACAAAGAAAGAGAAAAGAAAATTTAAGTTTTGTAATGAAACATATCTTCCATTTCCAGCAACATTAATAAAACAAAACAGACCATCAACATTATTTAAGAAGAGTTGGCATGCAATCATTTAAAACTATATAGGTTTTGTCAATATACATGTAAAGAAAGACAAAAGAAAATCAAAAGTTTTGTAATGAAACATCTTCCATTCCCAGCAACGTTAATACAACAGACCATCAGCATAATTTAAAAGGACTTTGGACACATTAATTTAAAACTATGAATGTGTCCAGGTCTCAGGTCTTACACTGGCAAGTTATTTAAAAAACACTTCATCAGTGCAAGTGGAATTAATTGTACATGGATATCATGCATGCAGATTTTATATAAATAAAAAGTGCATGGAAATTAAAATAACCTTAAATCTTCAAACAACATTCTTGCAGAGTGTGGAAGACTCAATTTTACAATGAAGAGAAAATGGTTTGAGTTCCTTACAATGAGTAAAACAGAAGAGAAATATACCAACCTAAAAAATTGTAATAGGAACAAAAAGAGGAGCCATTAACCAATCATGCATTAATAGGTATTCATCTACAAAAGCCTTCTGAATAGGTTTTTATTGACATTTTTCTAATTTTCTGACGCACTGGACCAATTTCACGGTTTTGTTTCAAGCTGTCTGTATACTAGACAAGTGAACCATACAAAGTGTTCTGTTTTTAAACCCTTCAGTACTGATAAGAATCACGACATACAAGCACCGGAGACATTCCCTCAGGGCTTAATAGGGAACTTTGGAAATCTTTATGAGCTCTGGATTCTGATGTTTTTTATATGCACATAAATAGGGTACAGAACGATAAATTCACTTGAGAGTTGAACGGCAATTACAGGAATAAAGCTGCACTAACGCCACTTGACATTCTTGGTGCAGGCTTTGTTGAGGTGGCACATGTGCTAGGAAGCAATTCTGCATTTCCAAGATAACCTGCTTATATTCAGATGTATCCTGCATCTGCATCACCATACCAAAATAGGAGATAGTCATTAAAGTAAAAAAAAGGGAAAACAATGAATAAAGAGCAACAGTAAATTACCTATAATAATCTCTAACAATAAACAATTCAACCTGCCCTATAATTACAATTGACAATTATAGTCTAAAAATATTTTTTACACACTGCAAAATGCATCCGTATTTTGTTTTAGTAAACAAATGCTTGTTTTATGTCTAAAGGTATTAAGGGGGAAATTCAATGATCAAAGCAGAACTTGCTATAAAAGCTCTGTTCTTTCAAGTAAGCTGTGTGAAGAAAGTATTTTCTTCATTCCTTACATAAAATTAAATGATAGAATTTTATTTACAGGCTCAATGTAAAATCCCGATTGAAAAAATGTTATAAAAAATAGGTTGTAATGAAGCTGTATTGTTTATTTCTTCCTAAACTTCAACATGCTGCTCGTGCCTTAAGCAGTCATCCTCCAGTTTGACTAGCTAATGCTTTTAAACATTAGTCTACAGAGACTGCACATAGTTTAAACCCAATAAAGGCACTGCTAACATGAACGTATTAGCTTTTAAGCAGTGGAGAATCAATTTTCTAATTAGTGTTCCGAGAATAAATAATTAAGGAGAAGAAACCTTACGCTGTACATAACCACCCCAGTTAGAACATCTAAAGTAAACATCCGACTGCAGTTCTGTGAGGCACTGTTCATATGACAGACCTTTCAAAAACAATGCACTCAGGCTTACTCATGCAAGCTACGTTTGATGATTTGAGTGCACTTTATTTGGAAGATAGGTCCAGTGGCCACACATTGATTTTAAATTCAAGGATAAAAGCTTTATGGATTGACAACACCTTTCTCCATGCTCTGTAATTTCCTCGACATTACAGCATTCTCAGTGAGTCACCGGACAGGACTGACTTGGCAGCATTTATATTTACTATTCATGTAAGTCAAAATGAACTGCCTGAAAGTATAGAAAAGGTTTTTTTCCCCTCAAAGCAAAAACAGAACCTTATTTTCTTCAAGGGTCTCTAGATTGATTCTCTTTGTATTCTTGCTAGATCACTTTCAGTCCCCTACAGAAATGTCCCTAAAGACAGACGATAAAGAATAACAAAATAGATATGTAAAAAGGGAAGCCTGACAAAGCAATCTATTACCTCGAATAATAAAGGTGGGTTCACCATCCCTTGACAAAGGACACTTAACTTCAAGTTGTGTATAAAGATATTACAAAACAAGCAAATGGATTTACACCGCCCTGTGTGGGCTGTACAGCAAATCATATAGGCATCTGGATTTATACCATAAGATACCGATAATAAGCACATTTTTAAATTTAGCCTATAAAAAATGTCACCCAAAACAACACTGCTTTTGCAGAATGTTACTCTTATTATGGTCAATTTACTAGTCTTGTAAATCACAATCCTAACATATATATGCAACCATAATTTAGGTCTATGATATTCATACCACTCATTTTGGAGGGGGAAGGAGGGTATTCTTTTCTGTCTCTCACCTCAGCTCTGGTGTACTGCTAAAGAAGTGACCAACAGAACACACCTGCAAGCACTTCTAGCCCCTCCACTGTGTTACACTGAAATATTTAAAATCTCCTAAGTGTTTAATACATAGTCGTTACCTTCACTGAACATTGTTATTTAAAAAAAAAGGAAAAATTACATTCTGTAGGTATGCCTACATTCAATCACTAGGCTAATCTTGTGTTTATGTATAAATGTTAAAGGGACAATTAAATTATTCAAGTTGTTCTACTCATAACAATTACATTATAATGTAGATTTAGTACTGAAACTGACTAGTAAGCAAAGTGGTGTGGGCTTGGTTAAGTGATATCACTATTACTTTACATAACTAAAACAAATTGTATTCTTCTCCACTCATAATAAAAATCTAAATCCCAGAAAACAATTTTCATGTCAAAAACGCTTTGAAATTGACCCCTTTAACCAGAAAGGGGCACAAACCGAAGAACAGCCTTACTACGGTGGGCCTCGAGGAAGAAGTAATGATGGGGAGAGAGAAATGAATCCATGCCGATCTGGAGCCAAATTTGTCAGAACATCAAAAGGACCCCCACTCACTTGTTATATCATAGACAACAACTGCCACAGTGGAGTCACGAATGTAGCTAGGAATCAAGCTCCTGAATCGTTCCTGCCCTGCTGTGTCCCACAGCTGCAGCCGCACCTGGCACATCAGGTAGACAACAGCAAAAAAAAAAAAGAGGCAGCGATAAGAAACGGGAACCCCCGGAATGAGATACCTACTTGTGATATCGTAAACTACAACAGCTGCAGCGGAATCGCGGATGTAACTGGGAATGAGGCTGCGGAAGCGCTCCTGGCCCGCAGTGTCCCAGAGCTGCAACCTGATCTGTGGGATGGGGAAAAATTATACAGAACGAACAAAGGAAAAAATAAAAATCGAAACCAAAGAAATAAAACATGATAAAAAGAACATGGTAAAAGACCAAATGAAAAGCAAAAGGCATGCAGGGGTTCGGAATAACGCAAATGAGAAAGACAGGCGTCTTGTAACGAAGGAAGACCTTTTCAGAAATTCCTTTTCATCCAATAGTCTGATTGGAACAGACAAATAATATAAAACTTGGGGACGGGGGTAAAAGGGAGCAGTAAAGGGTTGAAGAAAACCCTTCAAAAAAAATGTGGAGTTTGCTTAAGGACACATCATTCCCTGAAGCAGCAGCAATCAAAATTAATGACATGAACAGCCTAATATATGGAAATGAGGTGCAGGCAAGTCTCGGGGCTTGTTCTTTCCCTGCCAAAATGGCAGGCTCAAAACACCCTGATAGCAAATGCTGAATTAAAACTGTGAGAGCAGACAATGCAAAGGGATCTGTGTATATGAGCACTTGTCTTGCATTTAAATTACAAAGGAACACAAGACTTGTGGTTTACTTCTTTCTGCAGTGCTACTATTTCAGCTTCACCTATTGATAAATATCCCACACATTATAGAGCACTGTTTTGCGTTACCTTTAGTGGCAAAAGTGTACGTTCTTTTATTTTATTTTTTGAATGTACTCCTACCTCCTATTTCAAGTAATATTCAATATATAAGCAAATCATGGCAGCACCATCTTGAGAAATCAAATGTCTGCATCATTTCTGAAAACAAAACAAAACATTCAATGCCACTTACTGTTCTGTCTTCAAGGTACATTGTTTTTGACAAAAAATCTATTCCTATTGTTGCCTGAGGAGGGAAAAAGAGGAAAAGGTAATTGAGAAGTGCATAGCGGCGCAACACAGTTCCTGCCCCTGAATACCAAAACCCTGAAAAACAACACTGATGATGAAAAAGACAAAATAATCCAGACAGGATTTTGTTTAAAAGACTCAGTGTACACTGGGCATCAAAGGAAACATGCACTTATAAAAGCAACTGATTCAGACAATTATCATAAAAATGACACTTTTTGCTTCAGGTGCACCCAAATTGAAAGGAGAAGATATGGTCAATTTCAATATCTGTTATTGAAAGGGCTATATGGTAAAAGACAGTCTAGTTGCAACTGTGGCCACTGCCTGATGCCCTAAAAACCCTTCATCTCATTCATGCTTCGCGCAATATTTTCTGGGGTTGATTCTGTCCCATTCCTCTCACATAGCCTGGACAAGCACCATCCACAAGACCTAGATGCCACACATCATTCCAGAAATGTTCCCTGGTGTTCAGCTCCGGTGAGTAGGGCATAATCTCATAAAAGTGACAGTCACATTATCATCTCATAAGAAAGTCCCTGTTTCATAAGCAGCACGAGAACATACATTGTGCTGCTGGAATATGGTCAGGTCTGGATGAGCCCGCCAGAAAAGGCAGTAAGTTCGTTTCGAGGAATTGATCAATGTAGCGCTCTGCAGTCAGGTTGTCAGCAATCACTTGAGTCTACACCACAGTCAGCCATGAATGATCAATCAAAAAGCTCAGATCATTTCATCATTATCTAAAATACGAATACTTCATTTTTCTGAAAATGTGAATGCATAACTAGGGATTTTTTTGGGATGATCAATACGGTAATTTGTCTGCCGCAGATACGCACAATTCTAACCAATTACTGTTACTAATAAAAACTAAAGGGCTGCTGATTTATTATTAAAAAGGACTTGATGAAAAGGAAGTTTACCTTGAAAGTACAATAGTGTCGAGTTTCTTTTTTTGTGAAGGGTTTTTTTCCCACATGTTCTCACTGATAATAGGACACATAAATGACTGTGACCAGCTGTGCAATCATAGGTTGTTAAGTTGGTCCTGATCCTGCAATTACCCAACTTGGGTCTAAAGGTGTGACCTAAAATGTAGGTTGGGTGAGGGCTGCCTTTTCATCTTGGAAATGTTTGAACTTGACAAAAGGCAGCTGTGTGGCAGCAGTCCAGGATCAACCTGGAGCATAAATGTGAAAGGGCCTAGGACTTGAAGGCAAAGACCTGTGCAAACATGATTCAAATGTACACATCGTATGTTGAACATGCTTTATGACATGAACAACTCTGGATGGGAAAAAGACTTCTTTCAATAAATTCATCAATTGCAACAGCCATCAATTCCCAGACAGCAGGACTGTGCCTCCTTGGCCTCCTTATCAAAATCAGTGCTGAAACAATGTAAAAACAACAATGGACAAAAAGCACAATACATTTTATTAACTATAAGCCCACATAAAAAACTACTGGTGAATTAGCTACAGAAATGATCGGTTCCTCTGAAGGTTTATTTGTACTTCATTGCTCTCCTAACAAAACTAATATAAGTATGATTAAAATGGGAAACAAGATTAAAGAGACACACCCAAAGGAACAATAGGGCATACACTTACCTGGTAGGTGTTATCAAAACTGTCATACATGAATCGGGTGATCAATGAAGTTTTTCCAACTAGAAAAGAAGAAATTATTATACACCAGTAAGCTATTATGTAACTACTCATAACGAGTGATGATTTGAAAAAAAAAACAAAGCACGCACACATAACATGGCGTCTAGCAATACAATTAATAAAGATCTCCGCTCCACCATATCACTGACAGCTCATCAATATAGAAGGTGATTCTCCCAAGAAACCGATTTCACAGTTTTAGCATGGAGACAGTTTTAGATGACAATTTAATTAAAAGTGTGCAACGCACAACAAATGTCACTGCCTTTTCTTTTTGCCAACAATTCATTAATTTAATCTGTGTACTGTGGAGTCTAATCAGTTTGAAATATGAACAAAGAAACAGTGTCTAGCTGCACAAGTTGCATTTGGAAAGACTAAGTAAGCCTACCATTTCTAAGCCAGTCGATGATTCAGACTGACCACAACGAATAAAGATATTACTATATCTTCACTGTGAAGTTACTGAAAAAAATTTAATAAAGCAGGATTAAGAAAACAGATGTCTTTTGTATTATACTGGTTCCTATAGCTCGCACACCAATTAACTGTTCTGAGAGAACGTATACACTGTAAATTGAACCTACCCCATTCTCCCTACTTTATGATGCTAACAGTAGGCACTTTTTGAATATTACTATTTAAACAGAATTCTGCATGAGCATCAGAGTAGTGCTGGCAGTAAAGTTTAGGGTAACATTTAATTTTTAGGGTAAGTTATTTGAAAGCTCTAGACAATTTTATGAGCATATACTGTACCTGTTTCTAAAGAATGAACACCTTTGAAACAGCATTTCTGAAGAAGTAAGCGGATGGAAATTGCTGCAGGTAATTTCTCAAATGTGTGGAATTCCAAAGAATTGATGATGTGTTCGCTTATACAAAATACATCTTTGCAGCTTTGACAGATATAATCACCAGCATAACATTTTGCATCCTCTTCATTAGCTTCATGGATATGTTTTTGACCTCATTTTAAACGTACAGCTAGGGGTGGGCGGTATAACCGGTACAGACGATATGGATTTGGCTATACCCTTTATACCGGTAGAGAATGGATTTTGATGTTTACACAGATTGTGCTGCCTGCATCGTCGCAAAACGGGGTTTGGACATTTTTACTATTGACCCGTCATAGTTTAAAATTCAGCCGTATTTTAGCTCCAATGATATTGTAACGCTACGGAGTTCACGCGGGCGCCCTCGCCGCTGCCGCATCAGGTCGGCCCCCCACCGTTGGGCACTCGAACCTGGGCCTCCGGCGTCACTCAACAGGGACCCAGCCTCTTGAGCTAAAGAGAGATCTCCCTTCAGCACAGCAGCTGTGGCCCCTGCTATCCACAGGGGAGGGCGGTGACGTCACCGCTCTGGTAAGCCAGCTCAGCTCTCGCAAGCAATGGAGGCCGTATGGGTTACACTCTCCCCCGCTTAACTTGCCGTCCTCGGCGAAGGGCTATCCCATCCCACTACTGACACCAATGTAACGCTACGGGGTTCACGTGGGTTAATAATAACCTAATAGTTAACTCCAGACAACAAAAACGTACTATCCAAGTCTTTTAAAGTATGTTCTATTGGAATTATGAGAAAAAATCATATATCGTGATATATATCGTTACCGTACAAAATTAAAATTATACCGTGATGTAAATTTTAGGCCATATCGCCCAGCCCTACGTACAGCCTTAAAATGTTGATGTTCTTAATAGTCTTGAAACAAGTCACAAAATAAGTTTTCAGAAGTACCAGGAACGTCAGAGAAACAAACCGTCAGCTTCCCCGGACACGTACTGTAGTAACGTGGTTCTGCAAGGAGTGAGAATAAAAAGTCCACAAACATTTATATCGCTATGAAGGAACGAGCCATAGGTTTATTCCATGCTGAAAAGAGAAGAAAGAAAACACAACGTTTCGGCCGTGGAGCCTTCTCCTCTTTTCAGCATGGAATAAACCTATTACTTGTTCCTTTGCAGCGTACCCATGCTGACGCAGCTACCCACCTGGATTTATAACTATTACTACTACATATGAGAACGAGTAAAGGTTAATTCCAAGCTGAAAAGAAGAAAGAAAAAAACCTGTTCTGGCTGTTAAGCCTTCTTCAAATGGAAATATGCTGAGTGTATATACAGTGACAACGAACATTTAAGTAACAACGGCAGGTCCTACTGTGATCTGTATAATAGCAGTATACAAGACTCTTCCCTACTAGTGTTGGGGCATGCCTAACGGTTTAACTAGAAACGGAATATAATAATACAACATTATTCACGCTTTGCAACAAACTCAAAGTGCTGTACAACACACAACAGCAGCTAAAGCAAAGGAGTCATTGCAAAATGCTTTATTTTTCTAACTTAACTGACATGAAATGGTTAGTTCTTTCAGAGTACAATGTCCCTTGATCATGTGTATCATCTTGATATTAATTTTGATGTCACTTCAAAATTAAAAGGAAATGAAGTGCTTATTTCCTTTTATTCAAACTCTTGTTTTTGCTTACCATAGGCTAAAGCACACGTCTACAGTTACAGACAAAGCACATGTAAAACAAAATTGCAAGAACAGGGAAATTTTTGTATATATTACTGGGAAAACTAATAGCTCTAAAGACAGAGAACCCTGTGTACAATAAAAAAGTATATTGATCTCATTTTATTTTTCCCCACTAGGCTCTGAAAATGTACTGATGCTGTATTTTTCCCCCCATTTCATAAAACACTAACCACTTATTGAAAATGTGGTTGACTCACACAAAACAGCAGCATAATTTTACATCTTCACTGAGCAGTCAGACAGACTTAATTTTTAGTTTTCCTCAACTTTTTCCATGTAAATATTAAACCTTTATTATCCGGCTTTAGGAAAGAGGTTTCTCACTGACAAAAAAAATAAAATAAATTATTTTTTTAATATTACGGTTGTGATTCCACATACAGGGCAAGAGCAAGTATCAGTGATTATTAATAATAAAATAGCAACAAGAGAAAAGATAGCTTTTGCTCATGGAGATGTTACTCAATTCCTGCTATACTCCTGATCTTGATACATCATACTGGTGTCTTTTAAATGGCAAGACATTAAGGAAGGGCAGGAAAGTGATACAAATTACCCCTTGACTGTCACTGATTGCACTGCAAATATGACCCAAGTATTTCTATAAAACAACATTTTGCCATCTTCACATTCAAATGATTAAAGATACTAACTATTATACAGTGTATATCGATTTTATAATCTACTGTGTTATTAATGTCCCAAGCAGTAATACAAGACTATTGACCTTCTGCTTGGTAAAATCAATCTGCTTACTATTCTCTTCTTGTCGCAGCTATTGTTCAAAAAGACCCCTTAATAAGTTCTTAGAATTATCTAGTCTTCGCCATTAAGTTCTGTGACCACGAGAAAGCCTTCATGTGCAATGAAAGTCTAAACTTACAAGTAAACTGAAAGATGACAAAACATGACAATTTCTTTTTCTTGATGATGAAGCAAGCCTGATGCAAATGAATCATGTGGCACCGCAGCAGTCGTGAGGCTCTTATTAACTGTTTTTATCATTGTGGTGTGTGATTTGGGTTATCAGGGAAATACATGTGGTGCATGGATCCATACACCATTATATTCATAACATGAATAAGCCCACTTACAGTAGGTATAGCAGTTCAGTTGCAGATGAAATGGGTCTTCTCCTATAGGTGAAATGCTTTAGTATCCTTTGGAATATAAAGTGCTATATAAATACAATTAATCATTATAATCTAGAGTGTAACACTTGGTTTTGCTGTGTACCCACTTGGACCAAATCAATGTCCAAGTTAAACCATAAGCCAGGGACAGATGAAGTAAACCATTCCTGGCCATGCGGTACTGCTGGTCAACAGGCTCCGGGATCACAGCCGATATTATGGCCATGGTGATCCACACAGCTGCTCTCATTTCTCTCCAGCACTGCACCAGGTCCCATCCACGTGCTTCTCCGATAGCTAAGGCAACAGAACCTGAGAATCAGGAGTCAGGGCAGCTGTCTCATGGCAAGTGGTCATGCAAAATCTGTACTGCTTCCATTACACTGGGGGGACAGCAACAGGTGACAATTGCATCAGAAAGGCAATCAGCAAGATGTGAATTATGAGCAACTAACTGAAGGTGAAAAGTGTGAAACTTGGGTTTTCTGCGAGGGACGGTTTCTTTTAAAAAAAGATATAAAATATGCTTTGATATTTCTGTATCAATAAAAATACACTTTTAAATTGTGTAACAGAGCAGGGGGTGAGGGGTACCCAATACTGAATTGCTGTTGGAGCTCCGGTTGTGAGATCGTTCCCCAATACCATGGTTAAGGCTATTTTGAAAACACGCTGAAAAATTAAACAGCTTGTGCTTCAGGTTTTTGGAAAGTGGAGTTCAATATCTCCAATAATAAACAATGAGAATATCTCCTTGCCTCAGCCACCAGGTCCACAAGCGTAACAAGATTAATATTTCACATTTCACTGTGATCTCTGCGATTTCACTAAAACAACCTGGTGTATTGCATGATGTCAAGAGGGACCTGATAGATGTCAGTTTTGCTGTAATACTTTCTGGAAACAGTCTGCTAGAATTGCTTATTTAGTTATGCCCAAATAACCAAGTTATAATTCCCAAAGCTGTTTGATGTTACTTGGATTGCATCCTGTACAATTCAAGGAACAATAGACTCCATGGGACACAAACTGGAGGACTACAGGAGCTCTGATGCAGGCCAACAGCTTACTGCTGCTGCTACTAAAAAAAAACCCTTAATATGAAGCACGTGCTTCAGAACAGCAACTGGAGTGGAACCCAACCCACACCTGTTTTCTACATTGGCTTTTTTTGTCCGGGACATCACAGCGCAGTTTATTCTAATACAAGAGTCCCAGGAATCCAACAACAGTTGATCCAAAAGGCTGAGTAGTATTTAAAATGAGGATTGGGCTATACAAATGTGGTCCAATTATACTAATTACAGTAT